GCGAGTATGTGCGTTACCCTTTATGCAAGCCTTTGGCACAGGATCACCAAGACCAAGACCTTCCACTGTTTGCACAGATCATCAGAGCAGGAGAACAAAGCCTGAACCCAGAGAATCCTTTCCACAAACAGTCACAGGGTTTCTTTTAGGTGTGGGACAAGTGGGCAGCCACTTTACCTTTGGGGAGGGCTTATGAGGGCTCAGGACGGTCTTACTCTCTTTGGTTACCTAAACGCAATAGTTGACTCAACCACATTTACACCAAAGTCACTGTGTTGGAGCAGCCCTCTTAAATATTCTTGCACAATTCTATTTTTTTTATACTTCCTCTCAAGCTCAGCAAAAACATTTTATGCCCCCTTACCCTGAGTCATTCTTGACCACTTTCTTCTTTAATCTGCCAAGTAATTCTTTTAGACAGGGCCTGCCCACAGCCATAAGAGAGGGGAGAAGCACATCGGCAGGATGAGGGAGCAGCTGCCCAGATGCTGCAAACAGCAGGAGCAAATGGAAGGTGACATTTCTTCCCCTGCACTGGCAGGAGCTATTATTAAATCCACTAAGAGCTCACACCTAGAGCGGTGGCTGTGAGATCTCTACTGCTGGGCCAACCTTCAGTTTTACATTGTGCCCACAGTTGGCTCAATGTTTTCTCCAAATTGCTTCTTGTCAACAAATGAATTCACCTCCCACCCCTGCTTTTCACTCCAAAATAATGCAAGTTCTATTTCGACTCTGTAAGCAAAACAAAGTGTGGTATTGCTTGTAATGAGTAGTGTGCTATATATTCCTTTATTTCTTCCACGTTCTTTTGGATATATTGGCATTGATTAGTGTCACAGATTTATTCCCCAAGGATGAGACTTTGCTAATACAGGAATCTTAAGCAGTACACACATTGCTAGAGCTAATTTTCTTCATACTGTTGATGATATTGTTTTCTTTGGGTCACTAATCAATAGGAGCTCACTATTTCTTTGCTGTAAAACACTCTGCTATAAATTACTGGACTCCCTTCCCCTCCTTGTCTTCTTCAGAGCAATGCCTCTCTGCCAACCAATGCCACTGTAACTCGGCTCCCAAGGCTAGCTCAAGCTGTCTTTCCAGTCACATTCAGACATGTCCAGGTATCTCTGGCCCACTGTGGATAACAGGAGCACATTTGGAGATCTGTTTGCACATAGATGCAATAAGCTCATGTGAGGAAACTTGTAAATGAAAGAATGGAGCGGTGTGCACAGCTGTGAGTGGAGGGGGTGATTCTGAGTGTGATGGGCAGGTGAGGCTCACATTGTCTCTGGACCAGCTGCCTGTGCACCATCTCCCTCTAGGTCTCTGCCTAGAGCGGAGAGGGAGTTTGAAGTCGAAGGAGTGGCCGTTCAGTAAAACCTCGAGCAAGAAGATTCGCTCCCGGGTGGTCCCTGTTACAGAGTGCAATGTGGAGAGCAATCTGTGAGCCCAGTGTTACTATCCAAAGTACCACGGCACCAAAGCCACCGGGCACAGCCCGGTGCCGACTGACGAAGGGTAGGAAGAGGTCACAGGGAATGTGTGCAAAGCCATGGACACAAGTTATGATCATGCTCCATCGCAGCAATCTGCTTGACTCTGGCCGTGATTTGGCTGGGGGAGGAAGGCAGGAAAGAGGCATAGCTGCAGATCCTATAATTCTTTAACTAGAAGTCAAGTTACAAAAAATACTTTATTAATAATTCTGTGTCACGATTTCCCTCAGGTTGGATGTAGGAAAATATGAGAGTCACCATTATAATAAAAATACATTCATTCAATTGTCTTGTTTTTTTCCCTCAAAACAAAATTTTTACTCTAAATTACTCCATTTTCTATTTTGTGAACAAATTGAGTTTGGAGTCAGTCTTTTATTTTTTGCTTGGTCCTGGAATATAGACCATTTCCAAGAGGTCCCTACAAGAGTAGATTGTCAAGGCAGGTCCCGAAATTACAATATTGATGTCAAATTGCAAATACACTTCCTGTGGGGAAAAGAGCAGACCAAATCTTTAGCCACTCCTCTCCTGAGTGTTCCTTTTTTAAGACTCCAATATAGGGGCCTACAATTATTTGTATTTTTGCCACTAATTGCTCCTGCCATTGGTGTAACCAGCCACTTTTGGATGCAATTACTCTCTCGTGGGAACAATTACACATGAAAACAGCTCTGCACGTGCAACTAATTGTGATGAAATAAAAGGAGGCTGAGGAGGACAATTTGGCTCATCAAGACGTGAGCCCCACTTCATGTACACATCAGCCACGAGGAGGCAGAATAGTGGGAGAGGGCAGTGACACCTGCCCCGGGGGTTATGAGATGGAGACACTGGTTTCTATTGTATTTTAGAGGATTAACTTGTGAACTTATTTCTAAAAAGAGAGAGAGTGGTTCATGTCGGCTACTCGTTTACCTTTTTGCTGAAGTGTTTTGTAGATAACAAATCAAGCCATGGGTCCCCCCAGTTAGTCAGCCAGACTTTCAGAAAATGCCAGATTTTAATAAAAATTCATTCTGTTTTTACAAAGAACACACACACACACACACACACGCCCTTTTCTCTGCTAGACACGCCAACCTAAGTGTGAAGGCCTAGGACTGGGAACGATGTTGTGATGAGCGTGATGTCTGAGTTCCAGGAGCAGCAATTCCAGGTGGCAAAATGTAGCAGGCGTTCTACACAAACCATTTTAGAGTTTCCGGGCAGCATACGTAATGGACAACTGTCACATCACATCTCAGTGCTTGGTTCAAACTTTAGATTAGATGTAGGAAATGAGAGTGCATCTAAGTCCACCATTGGCCTGTATTCCCACTTCAGTTGTACTCATCTCGCCCGCGCGCGCACACACACACACACACACACACACACACATACACACACTATTATATCTTTAGCTATTTTTTCCAGGGAAGGCAATTAAGAACACAGGCTTTGGAGCCAGCCTGTCGGGGTCAAGACCTCAGGTCAATCATGTAGTGCTGTAGAACTTAGTAAATGAGAGAATAATGAAGAGGTAGAGGGAATATGGGAGCAAATTCAATGACAGAAGAACACAGACAAGATGTCAAAACTAAGCTACCTACAGTGGCTGTGATCTCTCCACAGGTGCCCCATCCAAGACTATCAGTGGGAGAGTGACCTACACCAACAGCACTGATCAACTTCAACCCCCAAAGGCCGTGCAGACAATAAGGCAATCTTAGGCTTCATACAACTGAATCATAGAGGGTTAGAAAACACTGTGGATGTCTAACCCAGGCAGGAACTTAGTTTCCAGCTCCTGTTGTCTCAGAGCATCCTTCCTCCATTTGCCTGTATGCATTAACAGGCAGTAAACTCTCAACTACTAGAAAAATAGAAGTCATGCGGCCCTTGTGTGAATTAAAAGTCCCTGCCTTAGCGGTTCCCAAGCCTGAAGGCTCATTAGAATTTGGAATTTGCATGAAAATATGTAGTATTTATGCCTGAGTCTCACTTCCAGAGAGTCTGTTATGATTAGTCTGAGATAGAACCAGAACAGCAATACTTTTAATATTGCACTGCAATTATGAGGGAAATAACATTAACCACACTGCCCTGATGTAAACAGGGAGTTGTTGAGTGCCAACTAACTCCTTCATTCACCCCAGAAAACACAGCAAGACTGAGCTATCTCTAGTCATTTTAGGAGCATTGCAAATTTTCAAACAAAGTAGTTTAACTCTCTGTACTTTATAACATGAATATATTAGAGCTGTTCTTCAGGAGAAAGTGCTAGGTGCTACTGAAGATCTGATGTGGGTAATGTGAATCCTGGACTTGAGGTGACACTTCCCTAAGCCCCTGGAGATAAGACAAAAGATGTTTCACTCAAGGGTGAAGCTGATAAAATCTATATATAAAGGGTATCATTAGGTAACCAAAAAATTATACATATGTTTTTAATAAAATATTTTTATTATGAAAATAATAAGTACTTCTAAAACTAAAATGTTTAAAAAGTTATATGAAGTGAGGACATAACATTTTCATGTCCACACACTCTTTCTTTTCCTGTTATCGTCCCCACCAATGCCCAGCTCCTCCCTCTTCCTAGGGAGTCAGGTCTGGCTCTAGCTCCTCTCCCTCCAGATCTCTTCTGTGCATTGCATGTGTGCATACGTGTAGCTTTTTAATATGCTGCTTCCAGGTTTTGTCCACCCCTGTCAACTCTATATGGGTCAAACTCCACAACCACAAACCCCGCACTTTTCTGAGCATCACATTCTGGTTTAGGTGTTTTACCCTTCAGGAGTCAGTTGAAGAAAATCAGTCTTTAGGTGCTTATCGATTTGGGATTTCATTTTTGTTGTTGTTGTTGTTGTTTGTTTGTTATTGCTGTCTTTACCTGTTTTCCCAGCCCCTGATTTCCTCTATTATAATTACTGTCCCTGTTATTACTCTAGAAATCATGTACAAAAGGATCTTTTTGTGTCTGATTTATTTCACTTGTCTGATCAACTGTGAGTGATCTGATATAACCTAGTTTTTTCCAGCAAGGGTGAAGACCAAGCCTTATCCTGAGGTGATTTAAACTGATGGTGCCATAGTGAATGGCTCAACTTGGTAGCCAGTGGACCTCCTGGAGGACATTTGTGTCACTTTTGCCTTTCCAACCCCAAAAGATATAAATGGCAACAAGGGTCACAGTGTGTATGTAACAGGGAAGATGGCCTATGAGTAAAAGACATTATATTGTCCTACCTGCAAGATTTTTGATTTTTCCTTTCACTGATTCTCATCCTTTACCAGCAACCATGCTGCTGGCTTAGAAAATAATGAAGCAGAATTCATCCTGAACACTCCTCTGCGTCAGCACCTCTGGCTTTCATCCATTCTTATGTGGAAGATTTCCTCCAGAGGTCCAAACTGTTCAGAAGACACAGATAAGACTTAACACTACGGAAACTGTCACTGAATACCAACAAAATAATGTCAAACACATGCATCTATTTTGAAAGGCTGGAAGAAGAAAGAAGAAAAGTTATCGAACAATTAAAGCACAGAAGATAAATATAAACAAGCAGCACCAAAGCAACAGTGGCTACCAGGTGTTGGTACAGTGTGGTAGGTTCTTCATGTTGCTCAAAAATTCCAAGGAGTGGGGGGTGTGTCATTATCTGTATCCCTCAGATAAGTTCTCTTCTCTGGAGTGGCTGTGGAATCAGGATCTTTCCTCACTGGACAACTTCAGATCATTCTCAGCTGTGATGCTAGGAAGACAAGAAAGGGTCTGAGGTTGGGCTACTAAAGGTCCCTTCAGTGAGCCCCGAGCATTTCAAGGGGAGTGGAAGCCCAAGACGGAAAGAGGATCAATGAGTCCAGAAAAATCAGAGGGCCGGCCCTGGACTGTGAGTGAGCAAGAAACATATTTTTTCTCGTTCATTCACTCACTCATTCACTCATGCATTCATTTGACAAATGCTTATGTAGCTCACCATGTGCCAGAGACTGTTCTAGTGGATTAATTCATTTAATACAAAAACGACATTTGGAGTCATGTGCTGATGTTACCCCTATTTTGCAGATGAGGGGCTGACACACAAAAAGGCTAAATCCCAGAGACACAAGTTTCTTCAAAGCCACTAATTAGGGGATTTCTATAGCAGTGACGTTGGCCTGCCTCACTCTACAGATATTCTCTGTTCTGATTTAAAAGACTAATTTTGCCGTGAAATTTGCAAAGTCCAAAATAGAGACTTCAAAGACACGGAGGAGGTTCAAAAGACATCTCACATGTAGATGCGGCTTAGTTCAAAACATTTATGACAAGATGATTTCATTTCAGTGGCACGGGGGAATAATACATTGACTACTAAGGATCTTCTAAGTTGTCTATACAATTTAATTTACAGAATGTTTGTGAAATTCACTAGCTTTTAAATAAAACGAGTAAGTTCTATCCTGGTGCCTGTGTGTTCTCATCTACTCAGTGAAGGGTAGATATTGGTCAACATTCTCAGCTGTCCCAACACAGGAAATTTCACTTAAACTGGGAGTAATTGCTTGTTTTTTGTTTGTTTGTCCTCAGTACTGGGGATTGAACACAGGTCCTTCACACTGTGCTACATCCCCAGCCTGCTTTGCTTTTTATTTTGAGACAGGTTTTCACTAAATTGCTCAGGCGGGACTTAAAGTTGTGATCCTTCTTCCTCAGCCTCACAAAGTACTGGGATTATAGGCATGTGTCACTGCGCCCAGGAGGGTAACTTTTTAAGAGTTCATAGGCTCAGGGTTGACTGAAAATCATACACCTCATGTGATTCTACCATAAACAAAGTGAGCTAGTGATCCTTGGGTGCCAGGATAGAAAACTGCTAGATCCCGGAAAAGTTTCTGAGGGAAAGTGCAGCTCAGCTGAAACAGTTTGACTTCCTCTCCTTCATTCTGCCTCTGATCCCTTTTATTCTCTGTCCTTTGAGTGCCTCCTCATTAGTGCGTCTGGCTCTCTAACTGTGTAGTTCCACCACTTGACACTGAATTCACCTTTTCTTCTGACAGGATCTGCTGCTTTGTCTTCTCCCTTCTGATTCTGCAAAGATAAAAATCGCATTTTTTAATGAAGATTAAAACAGATATGAAGTAGCCCCAAGATTTGGCTTAATTGGCGAAGAAAAGAGATGATTGAATGAGGCAGATAACTGACCCCAACTTTACATCCAGCATAATTATCATCATTTTGTGCACTCATTTTTTGCACCAAAGTCCCTGGTTTTGAGGGGTCTGTGAAATACAATCATGCAACACAGAAGGGTAGGTGAATGGTGATATTTTAAAAAATCAATTATACCAACCTGCATTGTCACTGCCTTGCACCTAACCAAGCTGGAAGAACCTCAGGCACAACTAGTAAAGAAACTAAAACTCAAGCAGAAAAGCTCTGTGTAGAGCTATAGCAGCAATTGCAATCAATTTTTTTCAGTAAAAAACAGTCTCTAAAAACAGGAAGATTTGAGAATTTGATTTTATCATTCATATAATTAGTGTCTTATTTGTGCCATATGATAAGCACCAAATCTTCCGAAATTCCTCCTCTTCCCCTCCTTTATCTCAGCCCTGACTGTTCTTCTTTCCCTCTCCCTCCCCTGTCTTCTTTCTCCCTTAGGACACATTCATATTGGTGCTGTTGCAGCTTATATCCAAGAATGCTGTATCAATTCCTTTCCTACTAAGAAGTAGAGTCTATCCATTCACCCCTGTGAATCTAGACTAATGCGTGACTGTTGTGACCCACAGAATTTTGTAGCTACGATACTGTATGAGACTTCTAAGGCAAGGTTTTGAGAAGCCTGAAGCCTTCTGCCTAGGTCTGTTGGAAAACTCATCTGGGAATAACCAGCCCTGGGGAAGCCAGCCATCATGAAAGAAATCCAACCACACTAAGGCCACTGTGCTGTAAAGAAGATCCAGCTATCAAACAAGCAAGAGTCACATGGAAAAAGAAATGACCATCAGTCACCATCAGTCTCAGAAATCACAGCCCAGACACCAACCATAAGAGTACAGAAGCTATAAGGTAATTCTAGCCTCACTGTGATCTGAATGCAACCATCTAAGGAACTCTGAGAACTACCTCACTGAGCTCATTGAACCATGGAATAAAGAGAGATAATAAATGATTATTTTAGCTTTCAAAGTCTTAGGTGATATGCTATGCAGTAATAAATCACTAGTAAAGAGGTCTTTCATTCATTCCCTGACTCTCTTACTCGTTTACCAATTGTGTATTGAACACTTCTTACATGTACAGCAACTTTCAAGGCATTGGAAATAAGTGATGAAAAAAGGTAGACCCAGCCTCTGTTTTCATGGAGTTGAGTTTTTAAAGAAGAGAGTAAACAAATAATTGACCAACCATTTCAAATTTCCTATGCTTCCTCTTCACCATTCACTCCAAGCTGATGGTTTTCCTCGTTTTTAAGTGAGAAAATAGGAATAATCAAAGTAGAATTCCTTCATTCACCTGTGATTTGCTTTTCTAAACCACTAGCATTTATGTAGACGTCTCCACCTTCTCACATGTTTCTCTGGATGAATTGTCCCCTGAAATTGCCACATTCTGAATCCCAACCACGTCACAATAATGTCTTCATGACTTTCATAGAATGTGAACATAATCACAACTGGCCCTTAGCTTGACATAACCTCTGTGGCCCCACATCTCAAGAATCCACATCTCCAGCCTGAATTCCTCCCTGGAACCTTAGACTTGTATATATTCAGCCACCTACGTGGCTTGGAAATAGTTTCTCCCCCACAGTTCAGGTGCTGGAAGGTTTTATCTTCATTGTAATGAAATTGAGAAGTGGCAGAATCTTTGTAAGATGGAACCTAGTAGTCTGCATTAGGTCACAGGGCCACTACCCTCGGAAGATACTAACGTTCACCTTTCACGAGTGGGTTAGGTCTCCTTGGACTGGATGAGAAATCATAACAGCTGGTTGCCATAAAGCAAAGCCAACCCATGTATTTGCTCTCTTCCAAACATGTAGGCTTCACTCTTGCCCGCCTCCCCACTATATGATGCAACTGCCATGTTGTGATATAGTCAATGGCCATCACCAGAGACCGAGGAGATGGGATCACTGGTCTTGGACTTTCAGTCACCAAAACCATGAGCTAAAATATATCTCTTTCCTTTATAAATTTTGCAGTCTTGGATGTTTTCTTATAGTGATGGAAAATAGGCTAACACCCCTTGACTTAGGTATCTTAAGAGTGTCTCAAACTTAACGTAAGCCAAACAGATTTCCAGATATCTCATCTGCATCCTACCCCCTCTCATATTCTTTCCTATCCCAATAAATTTCTTCCTCACCAATTTTCTTTCTAACGTAGAGAATTCCCCTCAACTCTTCTCTCTCACCCCTACACTCAATCCAGGAGGCAGTCTGTTGACTATGTCTTCAAAGCCTACCCTGAATCTACCCATTCCTCTTCAGCACCAGCATATCAGCCTGGGCCCAGCCACATCCTCTTACTGAGTTGCTGAAATACCAAGCTTCCTAAGCTGCCTGCCCGCTTCCATTGTGACCCACAACACCTTCCTCTCTTAAAGGTGGCTCAGTGAAAGCACTGAACATCAACGCGCATTGAAAATGATTCTGGAACCCTAGTGATTTTTATTTTTACCAGGCCTAAAGCAAGACACACAGAATAACTCACCATAGGGATTCCTGAAGTCCTCTCTTAGCCATCCCCGCCCACCTCAACTGCGACCACTCAGAAACCCGACCCCACCACCCCAGTCTCCTTTCCTCGCTCTGTCTTCACAGACTCTGCTACAGGCCCCTCCCTCTCCCCTCCCTCTGTTCAGCTCCTCACTAAGAAGACACATTTAGCTTTTCTAGTCCTCTTTTATTCCAAGCAGCAACACATCGCCAGGCTCCAAGACCTTGTTGGAAAGGAAGAGGGAAGATGCAATCATTTGGTATTTTGTGCTTTTGCTTTTTTCTTTACCAAGGTCACAAATGATCCCTAGGAAAACCTTGGTTTTCCTCTGAAAAGTGGCCATCATACCGTCCAAGCCTCCTTCCAAAATCACTACCACCACCCCCACCACCCCCGGGGTTTTTTCTCTGACTTTAGGCATGGAGTGGGGCTGGGATGAAGGGTGTTGAGGTTGCCAGTGATGCCTGGGTCCCCTAGAGTTTAAGTACTTTAGAATTTTTTTTTAGAGACTAAATGTAAGAAATACATTTTACATCACAGCCAGCTGTGTAGGTACACATACTGAAATGAAAGTTTAAATATTACTTAATCCTGACTCTGATATTTTCTGGTCTCTGTATGCCATTTAAAGTGGAATAAGTCCTCTTTCAGGGGTACATACCACACTATCTACAGTTGAAATGATACAAGGTCTAGAACTTGCTTAAAAATAATGGAGACAAAGAACTGAGGTATAAGTGAAATGAGACTGGTCCTGGCTATGAATTGAATATTACTGAAGCAGGGTGATAAGCCCTTGGGGGTTTGTTATAGTATTTTCTCTAATATGATATCTTTTATAAGAAACATTTTGAAATAAAACAAAAATATTGGTCATGCCCCACTAAACTGATGCCAGAAGTCACTAATAAGCCAGGAATTACAGCTTGTAAAATAACTTCTAGAAATCTAGGAGTTTGGAAACTTGAAACTAGATTCCGGAAAACATCTAAGTTTAATTTAATATTTGCCCTTGCTTTCGCTCCCAAGAAAGGTCTATTATTTCCAGGGTTGAGTGGTAGGATACTTCTTCCTCCAATACAACTGATATATACTGGTGTATCAGATGTCCCTTTAACAGAAATTGAAACAGATACAGAGGTGACCTCTACTCATCAAAGTTCAAGTTAGTTTTTTATGAACTGAGATTTCCTAGACATCAGGAAACTTGAGTTTAGGGGTTAAAACAAAACTGGCTATGACCAACCCTGTTAGTCAAGCCCATTAAAAGATGCTTTCTGTGACCAAAACCCTATAGAGCCTCAGTTATTATGCTAAACATGGCATGAAATTACCACCTCTGGCTCATGGGGCACTACCCCGGTGTTCTCTGAGGACCTCAATGGTTTCTTCTTCCTTTCTAGTTAGTTTTACCAAAGGGAGAGTTCAGACCGCCCTTTGGTACGTGCCCACGGGTAAGGTTGTTCCATATTACTCGGTCACAAGGTGCTGGACTACTTTCAACTTCGCTTTTCAAGACCCTCCACTACCCTAGTGCCAAGTGGGTGTCGCAGCAGCCTGGAAGTATATGCAGTGTCTGGAAGTATATGCAGATCATTTCCCCACTCCCTGTCTGCGTAGGTGCAACCTCCACATACAAAAGCTACTTTAGTGAGAAAATTTTCCCCGCTGAAGAATCTCTGATACAAAATTACAGGCTTCTCAGGTCTTGCATCCACCACACTATCTCAGCAGGCCCATGCTTCTCCCCTCCAGAGGCCCATCACCTTCTGACTCCATCCTCTTTTCACCCACCCTGAGAACAATTTCTCTAGTTTCCAACAGCAAATAATCACTGCTTAGAGTCTCCACACTTTATTGAACCACCTCTTTAGTCCAATTCTCTGTGGATCCAGATTTTATTCATATCTGTATGGACAAAAGATTGGTATAGTGGGGGAAAGGAAAATGTAATGAGAAAAAGAAATTGGCCAAGTTCTGTTTGGTGCCTGCTTTTATTAGTGTCCAATAAAAGAGATGATCACTGCATCCCATCTGGACATGACAGTGAATTTTACTGGAAATACTGTGTCAGTTGTACTCATTAGTTGGCCCTCCAGGGATGTTTTATAAAGTTTATATTTGAAGCCAAGTTGCCAGCCTCTTGAGACCTGATCTCCACTGCTGGTGTTACTTTTATGAAAAGTCTATCTCTTCTTTGAGGGAGGAAGGGGGGTTTATCATGCATAGCAAAGAGTTCATGGTCATGCTACCTGGACCCGTGGACATAAACCTCACCCTGAGACTGACTCCACCACCCAAATCTTCTGGAATTCACTGACTGTGTAGTGCTAGACATGCCTCAGGAGGTCTGTGCAGCTCCTAGCAATGAACCTCCAGACCTATCCTATAAGCTGAGCAGGAACTTGCCTGAAACTCCAGCAGCATCTTCCCTGGAAACCATCATCCCATCAACAAAAACCCCCAAACCCAAGTCCTTTGAATCCTAAACAGACACATAGAAAAAGAAGCCCCTAGACAAATCATGAAATTATGGTATTACTTTAGATTGAAGAAGGATATATCTGGCTTATGAAAGTTTAGATTACCTCCTGGAAAACATTAGAACCATCCCCATTCCCAAAAGTGAACCTTTAAAAAGTTGCTGGTGTTCTCTTTAATCAACTTGCATACCATGATTACTGATTCTTGTGGCTACCTTCTTCAATACATAGTGGAAGGGAAATAAACTCTCTTATTTCATTTTCTGCAGTTCCCTCCAGGAACCTAACCTTCCATCTGCCATTTAGTTGCCACCAGCAGCTCCCTTGGATTCTCCTCAGTCGCTGAATCCTCATGGAACTCCTAGTTAAGAGAAAGACTGACACAGTGATTCTGAAGGTTGACTTTGAAAAACTCCACACACTCAGGAAGCTGCTTCTACAAGCTGTGACATGGCTTCTACTTCTGCTCCTCCATGCATACTCCCTCAGCTTTTCTGGGTTCAGGTGCCTGGACTCTGGGGTCTGTTGTTACCACAGACAGAGGAGGGGCTCTAGGCCCACATTCAGGCCCTTGGCTTCAGGAAGCTCCACTGTCGGACTCTTGTGTTTACAATGGATTCTTGCCAAGCGGTGTTTCCAGATGATCTCACAGAGTAGGGTGCACAGCTCTGAAAGGCAGGCCTTAGGGATCCCCTGAGCCACATATATGCTTGCGCTGCCTATCTTCTAATGTCTGCCTGCCTCTGACTTTTTTCTTTTCTAGAATGAATTCACATTTCCTAAGAAATGGTCTATGGAAGCTTATATTACTATTTTGTAAAAGTTTAATTGAACCCAGCCTATAAACCTATGAGGAAGTAGATACTCTCAATCTAAAATAGTCTGGTGACCCTGAGCAAATCTGCTCAATATGAATGCACCCAGTGTAGGTCAAACGTTCTCTGAAAGATTGGATCCAGTTTCCAAGGGGCTCTGCCATTTCCCTGTGATCTGAGGGACTGTGCTACAAAGAGAACTGCTTTGCAGAATCTGCACCCATTTACTCTGCAGTGTCAGGATGGCAGCAGGCACTCTTCGTGAAGGATCCTTGAAGTTCAGTTATAAAGGGATATTCTACTTGGTAGGTTGCTGGCATCTAAGAGCCAAGGTCCAGTATACCTTTTCCTTGTTTTGCTTCATACAAAATGGCTAAAAACCAAAGGAGTAAGCCTTAGAAGGTACTGTGATGTCAATGTGTCTACCAAAAGTTCATATTTTGTGTACTTGGTCCCCAAAT